AACTCTCAAGAGGGAATAGCAAAAAAGGATATCGTTCAGCCCAACATTTATCCTGAGACTCCTATTGAGCTCTAGGACCCCCATAATTATCCTGAAGACATTAAGGCATCACTGTCCGGGGAAGAGGTGGAAATGGGAGAGGAATTGGAGAAGTAGATGGGGCAAAGGGAACCTAATTCCGCCCTTTATGATGGCTTTGGTATAAAAGGGCATTGCATCCTCGGCCCCGAGGGTACGAGAGTGCACAGCCGGGTTATAATCCTCTATATCTACGTACGGAGGGATGTTGTACTTGACCCTAAACCTATTAATTTGCTCACCACCCTTTACTTTATACTTCCCTGACCCCGAAGAACTGGCCTGATGATTCTCGGGGGCAGGGCGATGACGAGGCATNGGAGGGATGTTGTACTTGACCCTAAACCTATTAATTTGCTCACCACCCTTTACTTTATACTTCCCTGACCCCGAAGAACTGGCCTGATGATTCTCGGGGGCAGGGCGACGACGAGACATGTCCAAGAAAGTGAGAAAAAAAGTGAAGGAGGGTGTTTTTCCCTCAAAGATTCCCAAGGAAGCTTCCCGAGGATTGTTCGCTAAGTGGCAACCAGAGACACCTCCAGTTATCAGAAAACCAAAAGGGACAGAAGGACGAAGAGAGGAAAGATACTGGGACTCACTAGAATGTAAAACGGAGTTTTTTCTGGAAAACTTGAGGCGACTCCTTCCAGAATGTTCAAAAGCAACGATGGGTCTGCTGGCCTTAAGACTTCAGTGAAAAAGTTGGGCAGTTGACAACGGAAGGAAAGAGATCTCCGGCGAAGATTCAGGCGAGAGCTCTCTTGAGAAAGTTCAGAATGACGAAATGAGAAAAGAGGAGAGGAAGCCCGTTTATATATAGTACCAATCCCATCATTGGGCGCGAAGCACAAAAAGGCGTATTTAATGCGCACAACGTCCTAAGTAGGGGAAAACGGCTAAACGCAATGATGAAGCAGTTGGGGTTGTTGTAAAACCCTTCATCTCCTTACGACGCGTGTCCTCGGCGTCAGAAGATCGAAGGCTGGGGGGCAGTTGATGGGACATTTTTGAAATACTCTAAGATGAAGACACGTGTCCTCGCTGTCATTAAATCCTATTACTGAGATCACGTACCCATCGGTACACAAGTCCCTCTCCCCCGAGGTACTTTGTCATAGGGATCAAGTGACATCTAGTACGTTTACGAACCGACACGTATTCCTCGGTCTGATATGGGTACATCGGTCGCTATATGCACCTCCCCTCGGGTCCGAGATGAACTTCCCCCTCGGGTCCGAGATGTACCTCCGTCCAGGGTGGCGTTCTCTGCTCCTACAGAGGCTATTGATGTACAGGTCACTAGCCTAGGCTAGGCTAGGTTAGCTATCATGACCCGTCTTACACAATTGGTGTCAGAAGACACAGGAAGGCAGGGGCCATAGCCAATGGGGAATGGACGCATGGCATATTGTGTCACATCAGAGACAGAAAGACCGAATGCCCTTGCTGACACACGACTTGGGAAAACAAGCATTCAATTACACTATTCCCTTGATGAGACTGCATTCAATGCGGTAAGGCTCAGAAGTGAAAGACAATAAATGTCTCTAAGGCTGGACATTTATTGCATCCTCCCCGAGAGGAGCTCATTAAAAAATCGACAGCCCGATGACACAGCATTGATTGCTCGAAATCCCGAGTAGTTAAAAGAAAAGACATTCCTCGTAGGAATTAGTGCGCACGTTACCTGTATCTAATGATCACCTACTGACCACACTAACAGTAATCATAAGTATTTGAGGTATAAATACTCCTCACAAAAGGCAAGTTGGGATGCAACAAAAAACCTTTGCTACGATACATACTCAGTGTTTTCTTCTTCCTCTCTCTCAAAAACTGATTTGATCGTCGGAGGAGATACGCCGGAAAACACTCCGGCGTCCTTCTAACTTGTCTTTCTTTGTTCCAATAACCTTCCTCAGCCTTACTGGATCGTTCCGTTGATCCACGAGGGTCTCTCATTACCGTTTCAGGTTACCACCGGACCTCATAGGCTGTTCCAAGCAGCAGGGTTGACCACTCGACTAACTCCCTCGAGTTCACCAAGGGAGAGATCTGTTCTCGTGTTTATATTGTGCAAGATCCAACACGCACATATTGATTTATGAAAAATATAGTTAATTAATTTAAGCATGGAATAACTAGTTATTTGACTCTCAAGGAATTTCAAATATTCAATTACATGACATAGCGAATCAAAAAATTATACAAAACAAAAAATTACTAAAATACAAGAATTAAGTTAAAAGAATAAATCATGCATTAAACGAATATTGAATCAAAAATAATGCAGTGCTTCATTGAAAGTTTCTCTCCTAACTTTAATTGGACTTTTAATAAGCCATAAGAAAAATATACCAAAAACTAGAAAAGGAAAAGCTGTGAAAAAAAATGATCTCTCAATAGGTGAGAGGTTTTATTTATACAAATGTGTTGGTATAGGTATGAGGTTTATGGTTGGCTCGAGAGAAATTCCTTTTAAAAAAGAATTCTTTTTAGGTTAAATCTCGTGGATAAAATTTTTGGGGGGCACAAGTACTATATCTGCTCAAACTTCGAACTCAATTTTCGCATAGTTAGAAGTTGATTCACGAAATTTTCATCAAATACATTTTTGTAATTCTTGAAATCTTCTTTCCAACATCGCAAAAGTCAAGTAAATCGAATATCAGGATAAAAAACTATGACTAAAATATTAAAGACGTATAAAAACTTTATTTTCTAGAATATTTTTCTAATCCAACTTTAAATGAGTTTTACGTTGACTCTCATAAGGGTTAAATTGTTACATTATCTTCATATCTTAATTTTGACTCTTCAATTTTTATTAAATGTGTTTCCTCTATAGTGTGGTCTTATCCATTATTACTTTAAATCAATCGAATTACCTGTAAAATAAATCAAACAGTTAAAAAAAGTATCAAACTAAAAAATCAAGAAATTTAACACATTTAATTACAAATAATATGCAATAAACTAATTATTAAATATAATAAAATAACCCATTTGATGGTTAATCAATGAATAATTTAGCCCGATGACATTTCATACAGATATAAAATAACAATTCAATTGGTAACTCAAGTTGTAACAAAGACAAGTTGTAAACTCAAATGTTCTAAGTTCGAATCTTGGCAACTCATTGGGGCCAAGACCACGAGGGATTTATCCTTATGAATACCTTAATTTTGACGTGGATGATCTGCCTTTAACCTGACTAGATTGAAAAATATATTAGTTAAGGTACATGTAAGCTAACTCAAACATCCATAACTATTGAACAATAAATAAATAAATAAATAAAATAACGATTTTCTCTCATGTGAATTGAGTTTTTCATATATGACACTACCCGACCATCAATTATTTTTGTTAGTAGATTGTGTCATTGTTGAATTAGTTTTGTGTTGAGTATGAACCGTCTTATGTGCCATGTCAAAAAAATATATAATTTTTTTAATAAAAGATGGCTCAAACTCAGTTTAAGATCAATTATATTAATTCCATTATATAAAGTTTTGAGGCTAGCCTTCAAGCAGGTTTATTTCGGTGTTAAATTGTCCAGTGTGTGTGGTGACCTCGAAGTCCTGAATATCTCTACAGTAGAGAAGGAAAAAATTCAAAAAAAAAAATGATATTTCTACCTAATGTCATCAAGGGGTTGGACCAAATGATTCATATTGGGTTTGTTTAACGGTGCCCAATAAGCACTTTTGAATGTTGGAGTTGTGTGGGGTAACTGACTAGAGCGATTTAGAGCGGACTCACTCGTTTATCTAAATACGTTTCCGACCATGCTGCCCCATTCTCTCATCTCTGTACCTCTCTCCCACTTTCTCTTTCTCTCGTTTTTCCTAAATTTTCTGTCATTTAGTAATTGCTTAATTGGTGCTGCCATTGAGATTGGGCATGACAATAGATCATATCATGTTGTGTGAAAATTTATTTATATCATCTCAGACTCCTTTATAATCTTTTACAATAGGGGTTTATGTTGTTTCGATTTGTTCCGTTCTATATTTAGCTTGTTTATATTGTGTTTAATATGATTTATGTTCATCAATTTATTTAACGGATTTTATGGATCCTTTTATTTACCAGACAAAACCGTTTAGACTAAACTCAAATCTTCTATTTTTAGTGTCGATTACATGTCCAACCAGCTAATCTTCATTAAAATTGTCAGCCATAACTAAGGTACTACTTAGCATTTACCTTTTTTTAATACTATCTTTGGTCATCTTGCTTATTTATCTTGGAAGTCATGACTTTCATCAAGTTAATTTTTTGTCTTCTAAATGATCTCACCTCATCCCTACGTGGGATAGATGACGTTTGGAACCCTCATTGCAAATTTTATATGGGGATATTCACAAGGAATACAAAGGATGATTGTGGATCAATACAAGATCAAGAAGAATAGACTGCACTAGAATGAAGCTTGGGTTGACAGTGTCCCTATCACTTCTACTTCCAGTAGTTTAATAAGAATGTAACAATTATAAGAAAATAACTTCTTGAGAACTATGATAGATTAAGAAAGAATGATTTATTTACAACAAATTGATGTCAATGAAAAAAAATAGTAGACATAAGTTTACGCATAAGAAAACAGTAGATAGATAAAGATACCGAAAAACAGTCACAAATGTCTCTTGCCCAAAAAGGAAAAATCAGCTTACTCAAGGTATTACTGAATAATTTCAATGCCAGGTGGAGAACAGAAAGTACCAGATTGACATAAAAGACATGGTCAAGATACAAAAGTTGGGCTGAGGTGCATTCTCAGGAAAGCTAAAAAAAATTCTGAGCGGTAGATAATTGTATATTCACAGAGAGAACACAAAATAAGCCTCCTCCTAGCCTCACCGGAAACTAAGGAAGGTGTTAGATGACTGCGCATGCACAGACTAGTAGCATCATCGTCTTCTAGTCAAGTACCTAGTCTTCACATATTCAGAACTCCTTGGGGCAACACTATCCGCTAGACATCTTTTCCGACAACCTTTGGAATAAGAGGTCTCTGAAGGCTCATCTTCATCAGTATCCACTTCTGTAAAGCCTGATCTGGTCTGCACAGCAATACGCCTTGGAATGTATACATTGAAGTAGTAGCTCACTATACTTTCTCTAAAATGGGAAAGAAAGCACTCCAAGGCTGGATTCAGAAAGGTTTTACCCTGTGATATGGGATTTGTTTTGACAAGAAGAGCAAACTTTTTCTGCTCATCCAAATTCCACAACTTGGAAACAGATTCTCCCATCATGTCAAATTTCCATTTCCAGAAGACGGTTCCTAGATCATACTCTAGCTCGCTCCTTTTGTCAATAACATGCCGTCTAACACATTCTATAGATCCGGGAGTGATGCATGAACAAAAGTCAGGTCTTCCTCTTCCAATAGCATTACAATTTGTTTCTGGGCAGCTTCCTCTGACCGGCCATATTCGGGTGCCCAGCCACCTTGAAGTTTCTAATTCACTGTCACCCACATGGCCATTCCAATTGGGCACATCAGCTTGAAAACGGGGCCCGACAGGAATCGCCAATTTGACACTGTCTTCAGTGATGAATTCTAACCAGTTTATTGATACTGGCTTTTTAAATATTTGAATATTCACTGGCTTTGACTTCTGCATATCTAATGAGTTTGGTTACTGGGAGTTACTAAAACAGAGAGGAAGATCGTACCCAAGTGGCTACCACCCGACAACTTTGGATCTTTAGCTAGTGTATTTGAACTAAATCTCTGAGAGAACTCAGTGTTCTGTGAGGATGCCAATTGGACCCCGTAGAAACTTACGAATGCAAAGGATTAGTGAAATGAATGGAACATCATCCTATCATCAGCTCAGTGGTGCTTTCCTTTATAAAATTCATCCAAGTTGAAGATGATTCAGACATCATATCCCCTGAGACAACTGATCAATTTTGTGTTTTTCCTGAAAAAATAAAGAAAGTTAAAGGTGAATCTTGATGGGAATAGCTTATTAGATCAGATAGACATAAACATGCACAATGAATCATACCACCACTAAAAGGCTACAATACAATAGTCGCCATTAACCTTTAGGTTGATTTTTTCCAGCAAATAGTTGCCATTAAATGCCTCATGTTTGTATAACTAACTATTCAAAAAATCTGTGTCGGTATCCTCTATTTTATTACCTATAAGTTAAAACAAACAAGAAATAGGAAAATAAAGAAATGAATGGCCAATTAAACACAATCTTTAACAAGAAATAACGTCTTGAGAACTCTGATAAATTCAGAAAGAAGGGCTTATTTATAGCACATTGACGTCTTATGCATATTTACATTATTTACAAAATCATTCTCCCTTTCAAGGAAAACCCCACCAGACATTGCAATGGACCACCACATTCATAAAAAAAATCACCATTATCAGAAATCACCCCAAAAAAAAAAAAAATCATATTAATGATCCCATACATCATAAGAATACCCAACTATAAATCCAGAATATGTGTTCCTATGCAAATCAAAATCAGTTACATTAAATCTCGATTTCTAATAGTAACGATAACTCCAAACAGTACCAAGTAACGACGAGTATTGTATAACCTGGAAAATCATTTTTCTTCTCGAAGATTATTTCAGACGATCTTCACAAACTGCCAACCTCAGATACAGATGTCCACTCCAAAATCTGCTATGTCCACTCTAACCTCTGCCACTATTGCTGTGGAAAGAAACGAATGTGGAGTGGAATTAGAAATTCGCAGAAATCAACGATTCCGATGAAACTGACGGTTAGCTTTTGCCAATTAGTTATTTCATCGGAATCTAACAGTTTTTCCCGTTTCTTGTACGGACCAAAATTTTGTTTAGAATTTTTTTCGTATATCCGCGACGATTTTGAAGGAAACAGTTTTAAATTCAGTTTTTCCTCTTCGAATGTCTGAAATTGCGGTTTTATCTGTGGCGATAGCTTAGGGTTTGGGCAATTCTTTTTTCCCCCAATCATTCATAAATTCAAGATTATTAACAAACAAAAATTGGAATAATAAGAAACACTAACCCTAGAATCGAATTGAAAGTTTGCAATTTGCGACTGATTCAACTTATTATATAGATGGGAAATAGGTGCATAATCTGATCGTAAAGATAAAGAAATTCATCGGAACGTTTGATTTTCGGATGATTTTGCACTAAATCTTCAGAAAATAGAAAAAAGATCAAACCGGGAAATATCTTTGTTTTTTTTTTTTGGGGAAAATGCAAAATAAATCCACAATATAATTCAAATAATTATGCCACATGTTTTATAATTTTAATAATTTATTTTTGCAAAATAAATAATTTAAATTTCGAAAACAAGCAAACTAATACAAGGTAGTTACAAGATTACGAGCAATACTCACCTCGTTAATTTCTTGTATCTTTGACAAAATATAAAATGAATCAATTGTCTCTCTCCTTTGTTAGCACCCTGTTGAAAATAACAAATGAAGATGTTCAAACCAAATCCATAGAAGCAATAAATATAGAAGGTGAACCTTTTGTTTTTTGGGTTTAATTTTTGCAAGAAGAAATGGGGAATTTGAAATATTTTACAAAGGAGGAGTATTCAAGAGTCCAAAGACAAGTGAAAGCCAACCTCAATGCTCCTATAGTGGATTTTGAGTTTGCATAGTGATGGCCATAAGGCATGGCACTCAACTTATAAGGGGAAGAGAAGCGATGGTAAAGGATATGATTGTCAAGAGGATGATTTTGTACCAAAAGTTATAATATTTTAAGGTGGAGTTACAATTATTTATAAATTAAAAAGTTATGATCGATTTTAAAATATTGCCAATAATCACATAAAAAATAAATTTTAGAAGTCAAGTTATACCTTACAAAGAAAAAGTAAGGGTTAATAGTATTTTTGGTCTCGGAAGTGTATATTTAATGTTAGTTTTGTATTCAATATATCAATTTTGTTAATTTGATCTCTAAAGTACTTAATTTGTGTCATTTTATTCCTTAAATGACGGACTGTAAAATTTTTTGACAGAAGTGACCACGTGTCATTTTTTGTTCTTACATGAATGGACCATTAAGTTTTTTGACAGAAGTAATCACGTGTCATTTTTGTAGACGGTATCACGTGTCCAACAAGTGATTATTTTGTCAAAAACTTAATATTCCATCTATGTGGGTATCAAAATGACATGAATGAAAAGTTTAGAGACAAAATTGACAAAATTAATATATTAAAGACTAAACTGACAAAAAAATACATATTTTAAGGATTACAAGTGCTATTAACGGAAGAATTAATGTGACCCACGTAATCTGGTACATATGATTTTTAATTTGTCTCAGATAACGATAAGGGTAGCAATCTTAGCCTAATTGGTATAACTAATAGTTTATGACTAGTAAATTAAGAGAAGTAGTTTCTTAGATTCCTATTTTGATGGCAAATAGACTTATTGAACATGAAAACTGGTCGTTTCTCTGCCTATAAATATACAAATGACCATTCGAGTTGTGTATTATAAGAATAGAAGTCACGAGAGAGAAACTAATTTTTGTGCTACATCAAAAGGGTTCATGGATCAATTATCAAGTAATTCAAAGTTAGTGATTATAACTTTAGGTATATTGATTATGATATTTTTGATTCCGCATAATTGATATGTGAAAATTATGATTGTTCTACATTTTGGAATTACGGTTTGATTCATCTTTTGATCGAAATTATAGTTTACATGTTGAACTTGGTGTTAATCCAATAATTCTTGTGAAGTCACATCATTATGTCAGTAAATTAAGTCAAATTTTTAGAGAGCCCACGTAACATTTTTATTTTGTATGGTTAATTCTTACAATATTTTATGATTCATCATAAAGTTGTAATAGATATTCTTTTTTGTTTTTGAACAGTAATAATAGATCAAGAATATACATAACTTCTCTTTTGTAAAGTGCAATGGTGAATTTCAATACGTTCTCGGGAAAAAGGTTCAGTACTATAGTCTTATCCTATATCTCAGTCAATCTAATGAGTCAAGTTGAGGTTCGATTGAACTCAACCTAATTTTGCATAAGAGTGATATTCGAATCATGTCTTGTCAATACAAATTTATTTTATTTTGTGTTCATGGCATATTTGCATTGTGTATTTTTGAGTCATGTAATGTTTGAACTAACACGAATGATCTCGTGATTCGAAAATCCTAAGATTATGAATCCTTTATTTTAACTAAATCCACCACATATGGCTCTTTTATAAATTAAAACTCTAATTAATCCATCAATTTTTTTTGTTAGTAGATTGTGTAATTGTTGAATTAGTCTAGTGGTGAGCATGAATCATCTTCTATGTCGTGTCGAAAAATAACTTTCATTTAAAAAAAAATAGCTCAAAATATATTCAGTCCTGCAGCATTTGACCGTGGAGTTTTATAGTGTCAAAATATATTTTTTAGTATTGTAACTTTATTTTTTTACCAATAGAAACGTGTTAACATATAATTTCTATCTTAAAAGATTCCTTGTGAGCTCTATATTATCAAGTGTGTCTTTAATTGCATGAATTTTTTAGATCATATTTTGAAAGTATTTTTCATATTTAATTCATGTTCTTAAAATATGAAAGTTCCTAAACTATGAAGTTTGTCTCGTTTTAGTTATCAATATTTTAATTACATTATTTTAGTCATTGAAGAAAACAGAGTCTAAATTGTTAACAATTTTTTATTATGAACTTGTTATGTAATACCTAAATATGGGTAAAAAAAATAATGTGGATAAGTTGTGACCAAATTTTTATCCAAATTTTGATCCAAGATCTACCCAAATTACACAATTTTTATCATTAATTATCCAAAATTTTGTCCAAAGCTACTCATATTACACATTTTTTGTCAAGACCTACCTAAATTTTGGTCAAGAGTTATTCAAATTATTTTTTGCCTATATTTAGATACTAGTTATTATTTATATCTAAAGGCACAGAGTAATAAAAAATGGTAAACAGTAAATATATTTGTATTCATATTCAAAATTAAATCACAAACATAGAGAAGAGATAAAAAAATTTAAGCATCAGTTTGTAGTGTGAGTGAGAGGTGGTGAGCGACGGTGGTAAGAGACGGTGATGGTTGTGGTGGGTGACAATGATCGTGGTGGCGGCAGAGATAGTGGTGGTGGTGGCAGCGATGACAATGGTGGCGGTGGTGATAACGGTGGCGACGGTGGTGGTGGTGAAGGTGACGACGACGGTGGTGGCAGCGACGGTAGTTGTGGCGGCGACGACGATGATGGTGGTGGTGGTGTCGAGTGGCAGTGGCGGTGGTGATGGTAGAGGTAGTGGTGGAACGGTTTAAAATACTATTTTTTTAAAAAATATTTATGAGAAATAATTTTTAAAAGTTCTTTTAAAAAGTCAATCCAAACACATCCTTAGAGACTTATTTTTTCTATTAAATTTAAGGTGTTAATATTAGCCGTTAGATTAATTTTAAAGTAAAATTTAAAGCGATCTCAACCGCGAATAACCAAAGTCATTTTATTTATCTTTTGGAATTTGAATTGTAAACTACTTTATTATATAGATAGTTATTGCAAGCGAAAAAAATCAACTAATAAAAATGAGCATTAACAAGAGAAAAAAGCGGTGCGTATAATGATAACAATAAATATCTAGAGTCGATGAATATATAAAAAATGTAAGGAGTAAAATCGGTACTCGATTAGACCACCCTACTTGGTGGTATGTGTTACTCAACTTGATAGGCTCAAACTAGGGGAGAAAAATATTTTGAATTTTAAACGAGTTTTATGATACATGTATTTTTTGAATATACTAGAACTTGACCTCAGGTCTGGACCCAAATTCAAGCTCGTAGTCGTAGTACACCAACAAACCAGACTGAGACAAGCCTAAGCATCCAATAGTTTGAAAGACTCGACTTAATTAACACCCTATCCTTAATTAGTTGGTGAGATACCACGTCGCAATAATAACATAGTACGAGGGTTCAATATTTTCTCCAGGGCTTGAAGTACTCCGAGAGCAACACCATTTAGAGGCCGGTGCTTCTTGGTCATTGAGATATCATGTTTTTACTAGTCACTGAATCGCTTTCATCAGGAACAATGAAACCCATAGATGACTCTCATTCGTTGTTTCTTCACTAGAACAAACTCGACTCTCTCTTTCTCTGCGAAACATATTTGGAGCAGAACCATAATCACTCGGCAACAAGGTGAACAAAGACAGATTACACGCGAGGAATTCTCCCAAAAAAAAAAAACAAGAAAAAGAAACTTGCCAAACTCGTAAACCTTTTAGAACACGGGATAATAGACTTAATTTAGAGACTTAATTGTAGTAAGCTTAGCATTAAATAAAGTTGAATTGAGCGTAACAAATTATGTCTTCAAATTAAGTTCCGGTATTAACTACAAGTAGCAGGACTATTGTCCACAAAATCCTTCACCTAATAACAAGCATTTTCCACAACAACAATCACTCAACATCATACCCTTTTTCTTGAATCTCAGAAATGACTTCATTCCTCATCCTCATCCACAGCTTCAAAGACTCTTGCTCAAATTTTTTGTCTTGCAACTCCTTCTGATAATTATAAGCGTCTTTGTCCGTCTCAATAATCCCTTTGGGGCCAATGGTCGTCCCTATCATCCCACCTTTTGCAATGAACTCCTTCATCGCCTCCTCGTCGCCCGGGTATGGAAACTTCCGGCGCTCATAGAGATGTGCCAACTCTTTCTCTTCCTTTGGCCTTATCTTTAGGTTAAACCAACCAAGCGGCGAAGTTTCGTTGTATAACCACGCAGCGCCGAAGAGAGTGTATGTGCATAGTAAGGCCTTTCCTACCTGCTTCCAGAAATGGTAGTCCTCTTTCCCTAAGCCTATTTTCTTCAGGTACTTCTGGGCGAAGAAGATCCCTAAAATATATTCAAATACATTACTTGTACAGTTCAGACTTTTCGTCGAACGGTTGAAAGGCAAAAATTCGAAAGAACAAAAAATATCACAAAATCGAATGGGAAATCATAGGATTCATTTCAATTTTGATCTAATTGATCGTTTGGAATGAATTCCGACACAAAGATTGTTGATTGTTGTGGAAGTAGTGAATTTCGAGTGCTTACCTGTTTTAGCTTCTTGAAGCCGTTTGCGAGCCATGGAAAGGAATGTACGAAAGAGAGAGAGAAGAATGGGTGAGGCTTAAGAATTTGATGGAACCCCTCGGCGGGCTGACCAGCCCAAATCAATCAAATCTACAATGGTTTGGCACCCAAAGCATTTACACCCTTAAAAGTTTGTACTTAATTCCCATTTAGTTCTTAAAATTCTAATTTTAACAATGAATTCCTTAAAAATTTAATTGAGTTTCAGTTTAATTCTTACATTTAAATCACTAATTTATTATGACAAAATGGCCTTCCATGATAAACACGCTACTTGGATAAAGAGATGTAGTTGTCTAATGAGAAAGCTTTTGTACATAGGATAGGCTAGAAAATTCTTACTTTCTTTCATTTGATTTTTAATAAATTGAAGATAATCTACAAAAAAGAAATATATTTTTTTAGAGACAAGTAGGTCTTGCGACATCCTTTTATCCGAATAATTTAATAGATCCGAATAGAAAGCCTGATAGATCATCCCGGTGTATGGGTGGAGACTTCTCTTCTTATAGACAATAGGTTCCATTTAAATCCATGACAAGTAACTACAACTGACAAAACATTGAAATAAAATGCATTAGGAATAGGACATCTAATGCTATTCAGGTAAGTAGACTCAAGAAACCCTGTTTACATAGTCAGAGAACTATATAAAAGCATTTGAAATTTGGCCATTTTGGGTTGGTTCACTTTCAAAAACCTCTCTGATCTAATCCCTCCCCCCCCAAAAAAAAAAAAAAAAAAAAATGGTCCCCCTCTCCCTTTGTTCTCTATTGTTATGGATTTCAATTGCATACTGCAAACACATAATAAGAAGCAGGGCTATGGAAGAGACCTTAACAAGAGACTCGGTGTTTCCCACAGAAATTAAGCAAACAATGAAAGAGGCTGTATACACTTATTGTTGCATCTAGTTACCTCCATTGCCACAAGTGAGTCATTTTTACAGTAAGTACACAAACATAAATAGTCTGCTGTCTTTGTGGTGGAATTTAACTGTAAGTTTCATTTTCACTGAAGTTGAAGGAGAAAATAACTGCAATAGACTGAATTTTCAAGTAGAAGTGCAGGACAGACTTGCTTATATGGTGTGATCGGCTTCGCTCTTTATAGCCGGGAGAGTCCCCACCGACCTCTTATAAGTGTACCACTTAGCTGCCAATAGAAAAGCTCCTAAATTCAGCACACTTAACACTGCCAAGAGCCAGAAGAAATAATGGAGATGACCATAATTCAAGTTATCCGGTATCCAGCCTGGCTTCCCATCTCGAGTACTAATATCAGTGACAACGGTTACCAGTAGAGAGCTCAAATAGCTTCCGAGGGCGTTTGTGGTTAACGAGAGAGCCGAGCACAGGCTTCTCATGGAATCAGGAGCTTGTTCATAGAAAAACTCCAATTGTCCAATGAAGGTGAACACTTCTGCACAGCCTATAATGAAATACTGTGGAACCTGCCAAAATATTGATATGGGCACTTCCTTGACTCCATAGATATCATGCCTTTTCACAATGTTAAGCCTAACAACCTCTAAAATCCCAGCAGAGAGCATGGCAAAGATTGATATAAAGAGGCCAATGCCCATTCTTTGAAGTTGAGTCAAGCCACTTTTGTGGCCAGTGAATCTTCTGGTGACTGGAATGAGGATTCGATCGTAGATTGGGACCCAAAAGATGACACTGAGGGTGTCAAAAATGCTAAGCGACGCTTCTGGGATCTTGAAACTAGAATTGCCCACATAAGCATCCATGAAAGTTCCTTGTAATACAAATAAGTTGCCCATTTGTCCATAAACTGTGCTGAAGATGATACCAGTAGCCCATATAGGAAGCAATCGGATGATTGCTTTCAATTCCTCAACTTGGGTCACTGTGCAAAGTCTCCATGAGTCAACTGAACCCTTCATGTGATCTGATTGTATCTCCACTGCCGCCTTGTCAAAGAAACTGAAAATCATGACATTGGGTAAGATAAATAGATCATTAAGTACATTATTAAAGTTCTATTTTTTGCAGTTCGATGCATGGACTGAGGAGCTTGGTTTATGACACAATGTGGACTATATCATAACAAAATTATCTTCTGTATTTGAAATTGCATCAAATTGTGAGGAATCCTGGCTTCGAGAGGAAAAGGAAATAATATTTACACAGATCAGGTGACTATCACATACACCATAGACTAAATACAGAACACCATCTTAATTTCATATCATTGCAATTTGACAGATATCAGCTGCGCAAGTCATTTGGGTTCAGGCACTTGCCTGAAATCATTAGTATGATCAAGTTTGCGGCTTCCAACTATGGCCGATTCTGCCTCTGCAGTCTCATACAAGAGGGAGTTGTCCGCGGGAACTCCAACTCGATATTTTCTCAAAGAAGCCACCACCACCTGACAAAGGCGAGTCAGAGGGCTGCCCCCAGGTTTCTGATTTCTATACAACCGAGTACCTGAAAAGAAAATCGATACTGCAACTGCCATGGCCACAGCAGGAATGCCAAAGCCCCATCCCCAACCAACGTTGTTTTGTATCCATACCAGCACAGAAGCAGCAATGAGTGCACCAATGTTGATCGAAAAATAGAACCAATTGAAAAATGAGCCCTTGTGTTTCTTCTCCACCTCGTCAGCATCATCAAACTGATCAGCTCCATACGAAGAGACACAAGGCTTAATCCCTCCCGTTCCAAGTGCCACCAGGTACAGTGCTGTGAAGCACACTGCACTTTGAGCTTCTGTTGGATTGCAATAGTCCTTACCATAACATCTTGGCTTTATGCCTGGGACTGATGCTGATAATGTCAAAAGTGTCATTCCCTAACCAAATCAGGAGATTCTCAGTTTTCCAAACAAATAATCTTTGATATCAAACCAAAGTGTGCTCACAAATTTCGGATTAGAAGTTAAATGAACTGGCAGAACAGAAGTACTCTGAGAATTCAACGTTCAATTTTAATTTTTATCAAACACCACCTTACCGTTACTAGCACATGCAAAAAAAGTCAATTGGAATTCATTAATTCATCCCTTATGAGCCAAGACTTGTAACTTATTGTAAAATAGCTCATATCGAACTCCAACAAATTAGACTTACAATAACATATATGATTGAGAAGCAGGCAATGGTCCAGTATCTTCCCAAGTAGGCATCAGCAAGAAATGCTCCAATCAGCGGCGTGATATAGCATGTTCCTGACCAATTGGACAGATTTTTTGAAGCGGTAGTACTGTGCTGGTTGAGCTTCTTCGTGAAATAGAGAAACAAATTGGAGCTCATCCCATAGTATGCCAACCTTTCACTGCATTCGTTTACTGTCAAGAAAGATTACTTTTATCAATAAGTTTTTGTTCAATCATGCACGCACAAGTTCAACAATGTTCGTATATATAGAGTTTGATAACGTGTACCAAGGATATAAGGGCAGGCCTTCCAGGTTCCTGTTTCCTTTTTATTAGCAGGATTCTTTCGGTAATCTACCGTGCCATCTTTAGTGTAGATATCATCTTCTGCCATGGATTCCATAAGAGAGTACTTTGCTTGATTCTTGATCGTCTTCTTCTAGGGATTCATTCAAGCCTGGAACTCGAAAACGTGCCAGAATTTCAGCTAGAAAATAATAATACGAAACGAAACAACGATGAGAATCGAAGAGTTAGACATGTATCATCAACAATTGATAAGAGCTTGTATGTTGCAGGGTTAACTTTTCTTTTCCATTTCTCTTTTCCACTTTTTTTCTGGTAAAAGTCCTAATAATCACACTAATAAAAATGCAAATAAAGTAATCCTGTAGTGCAAATTTCTATATACATATAAGAAGTGATTTAGTTTACCTCTACATGAAATCAAAGTATCAAAGAAGCACAGTATGACCAGACTATAACGAATGAAGTTATCAAAAATAAATATTGCTGCAGTTCAGGACAAACATCAGGCCTACTTACCTAAATCTCAAATGATGACATCTGGGATGGTCTGCTTTATGATTTGAACATAAATGCATATTTCTCCACATTGATCACTTTGTCTATGGAAGGATAATGAGGAGAGAAAGAGAGAGAAAGAAAAGGCCGAAGATGGGATTAGGATGGATTTGGACAGGTAAGACTCAAACGGGAAAAGGAAAATTTCATTAAATGCTTTTTTTCCTTTCGGAGTTTTTCTGGCATCAGATTATTTGCAATCACTCGGTCGTCTACGGAGACTCGAATCAAGTATTACGGGAGAAAATCCAAATTCTTTACCAGCTAGGCCAATTACTATAGCGCCATCACATATCAATACAGATTTGAGACTGGAAGTAACTATCTATACAATATTGAGTATCATACATGTAACGATCATAGTAGGAATAGTCACTCTTTGATCCATTATTCAGATAACTAGAATTTCAATAACTATATAAAGAACTTTCTAGTTTACTCACCAGAGTTAAGAACGGTAACAGTAGAGAAAAAAAGGATGTGCATGAGAGACAAAAACCTGGTTCTGGTTCCCCTGATGACAAGAACAGTAACAAAGTACCAAGAAACCTCTGCTTCGTTCTTCGTTAAGACCCACAAGTACAAAGGCATTAGGAGTTGTTATATTTACGAAATTCCCTGCTCCGGATTGGTTTGGACAACGTAAAATGGCCGTTGAGTTCAAGTGACCCTTGCCTTGTTCGCTACCTCCTGTTTATACATAAAATGCAATGTCCAGCTCAACAAGAGCTAGCCGGTCATGGTCCCTTCCGGTGTATCCAATAGTGATTATTGGATTGAATCTTTTTGGATTCATACCTTATATTCAATGAATAAGTTCACTATCGTTTCATTTATCAATACGGTTCTAATTGGATATTCTTGCACATAAATAATGACCTTTTCTTTGTTTTGCCTTATATCAAAAAAAAAAAGGTTTAATAATACTTTTAGTCTTTGAAGTATCTTCATTTTATTAGTTTGATCTATAAAATATTTAATTAGCGTTTAAATGGTCCTTAAGTAAGTAGTCAACTCAATTTTTTGACGAAAGTGATCACATATCATTCTTTTAGACAATATTATGTGATTAACATGTGATCACTTCCGCTAAAAACTTAAAGGGTCGTCTGCATACGGACCATTTAATTATGAATTAAATACTTGAAAGACTAAATTAACAAAATTAATACAATAAAAACTAAATTTACAAAACATACATACTTTAGAAACAAAAAATAATATTAAAAAAGAAATATTTGTGTGTTTGTCTCCTTGTGTTTATTGCCTTTATTTTGTCATATCTTTCTTTCTTTTTTTGTATTGGACATTTTCTCCCATTCATAGGTATTAAATTTTGCTATTGAAAAAAGAAGGGTACCATTTGTCCCTGTATTTTTTTAAAGAGTAATGATAGATTGACAAAAAAATAAAATAAAAAATAAGAACCAAATAATGTAATATTACCATAATAGTATTCTTGATTTCACTTTTACGCATTTGAAATTCAAATGTGTCATATTATGATAATAACACATTATTTGGTCCATATTTTTTTGTCAATGTAGCATTTACTTTTCTTAAAATCATTTGATCAGATATCTTAAATTTGAATTTTAGTAATTTCTTAAAGTTAGATTGTCACGCCCTATCCTGGTCTCCCAAGGATGAGACGTGACTAGATTTTTGATACACCTGTTTACGTATATGTAATCTAGATTAATAAAAACACTAATTAATCTCACAAGTGCAATAATACCACTCATCATCTTTTGTTAATAAGCATGATGATAAACATGTCTCATAACCTGTACCATATGTAAAACCTGTACCAGTTGTTTCTTTTCGAGGTTATAGATAGATACAAAATTTCACACCCACATAACATACATCACAAAAGTATGCATGTTGAGTCTATTTACAAATATATATACTATTAACCTACTATAATAATCTCTCATTTAACATAATATACAACCCAACAAATAATTATAAAGTCTCTCAACCAGTATCATTTACTCATTCAAAACTAAATATATAACGAACAGAATATTATACTAATGTTGTACAAAACTCAACCTTTTTGACAGTGGACTGATCTGTGTCTCCCTTTCTTATACCTGAAAATGAAAAATTATAGGGGTGTGAGCTAAACCACTCACTCAGTGAATATACATGTCATATATGAAATGAAAATGATAGTAATACACAGAAGTAGGTAAATACACGTATCAAACAACAACATTAATCCAATTCTAAAGAATTCACAAACCACAACACATCCATACTACCCCTCATCGGGTAAACGATCCCACATGAATTTGTGTCTCCTGAACCTCCCGGGAACAACATAGTGCTAGCACGCCCAGTGATCAGACATCGACGCTCTTGTCTCAAACAGTGCGCCACATTCTACAATACACAATATACAATACAAAAGCATCATCCGATCAAATAAGCACATAACACATAATCCTGGAGAAATGTTATTAAATTCTATTATCTAACATCATCTTATAATAGCATTTTCAAAACATATAAAGATATACACCCACCTCAAATATTCCAATATACGTCCCTTCGGTTCTATCGATGGATCCTTCCAATGTTTTCATAGACGTCTCTATACCAATTGTCCTACCTGTTCCACCTAACACATCAATATTAATATGTTTATCACATTGAATAATTAATCATGCACTAATGCATGCAAGATGATTCAACCCAAAGTGCCTCAGTAACCCTCCGGTTACCGCACTGTTCACTCATATACTGGTAGTCTGACACTTTAGAATTAGGGATCATATTTCTTCCTCAAATCTTCAAAATCACTCACATTAATCACAAATTAAGATTTAGTAGGTTAAACACATTGATCGGGGCCCATTTCCACACATTTTGACCCCCAAATCCCAAAAATTGTACTTCTAGCATTTTGTACATTCCGCACCGGATATTATATTCATTTGCATTTAAAATTTACATTATCACATCAAGCATTAATTAAAAATGTTGCACGCAAAATTTCAAATCTTTTGGATTTAAAATTCACGCATGTAATAATAATATTTAGAAATCAGGATTTCGGCATTATCCGCGCCCATTTACAATTTTTATCGTATTTTTTTTTCTAAAACCACTATACTTAAATTCACATACACATTTAATCAATGTAAAACAACCCCTAATTGAGCCTTTAAACCACCCATTTCATTCCCAAAATTTTCGTTTCCAACCTAGCCCACTAAATGTATCCCGAATATCTCAAATGGTTATTTCTACACTTTTTGTACACTCAGTTGAATACCCATTTAATACCTCTTCTTAACATCTCCTAATTTTGTGTAACACCCTTAATAAAATATGTTTTGAACTTAATATAAAACATCCCATTATTTTAATACAAAATAACCCACTAATTATGTTTAACACACTTAATTTAAACTCACCAAAATTTGTTTTGAAATTACACTAAAACAATTCCACACATATACACAATTACTTAAAATTAATCACACGCGCACACTAAAATCAATACACACGTACACTTACCTTATTCTTGTTTTCTTCTTACTTTTGGTTTGGCATGGAGTCCCCCAAATTCTTTTTTTTCTTTCTTTCTTCTTCCTCTCCTTTACTCTCCCTCACTCACAGTTTCATATAGCCAGAACACACAGACACACACACACACACACACTTGTTTATTTTTTAAATACATTCACTTTACTACATATTAAAGTACATATACATTGTTCCATGCATTACACACACACACTTTACTACACCTTAAGACACACACAAACACTTAACATACACCCACCCACATACATAACTTTTAAAATAACTCACCATCTTTTGTTTGACACATGTGTAAAGATATTTTCATACAATTTTAATAATTCTACTTGCCTCCCTCCAACCCATGATGGTACCCTTCTCAGCCCTAGTGTAATATTGCAGGCCTAAAGCATTTGGGAGTTCTCAGCCGGTGCTATTAATAGAACTTATGGAATTATTCGACATCTTCGAATAAGCACATAGCAGTAAGTGCTCACAACCATCTTGCTTGTCTTTCTCTCTCTTCTTGATGTTCCCAGCCAAGTTTTGTCAAATATTGGGCAAAGCCCATTTCCTCTTCACAATCGATGGGTGTGAAAATATTAGGCAAGCTACTGTCATAGCATCGGTCCACCGTTTATGGCTCAAGGGAAAAAATTTCCCAATTGATGGGTCCGAATCCAGGAAAACAAGCTTCCATGGTGGTCTTTCATCTCGGCTAGGTGATGACGACCTATCAACCCTGAGGGGGCTATTTCGTCAACAAAGGTCGGAGAATAATCAATCTATCTCCAAACATTTTTTCTATATATGAAGGGTTTCCCACAGCACTTAAAGAACATGGCCATGACCTGCATAGTCAAGGGTTATTATATTAAGTTCCTCTTGTCGGCGTTATCAAAAAAGTGGTTACCACCATTGAATATCACTCCCAGAAGAGGGAGCTTTTTCTGTCTCCTATGGTATCTTTGAGCTCACATTCAAGCAAATTGAATCTGCCAC